AAAAAAAAGAATTGGAAAGACTAATACTATGCTAATAGAAGCTGTAATCTTTACTCTTCCAGCAAAATACTTTAAGAATATGTAAATACAAAATCATTCAGATAACTCACTTTCTAGAGAGAATACAAATCAACATGGGACCTTCACAATGTACCCAAACCACTGCTCTTCCACATTATAAGTCCTTTTTCTGTAATCATTTCTGCTATTCAGAGTGATTTTGTTCCCTCTGTCTCTGGATGACCAACTAGAAATCATCCTTGACATCGGGATCAAATCATCTTTTTGGTAGACTTTCAGGCTTGCTGTACATTCCTTTGCCCACCCCACGTTACAACTTGCATCCTACTGCATTATGTTTATTTGAATATCTATTCCTACTCCATCTGATCCCAACCATTCATTGAGGCAAAGGCTAGATTTAGGCATCTCTTAATGCCCTGTTCTAAACCTCGTGTTTGAGACAAAAACACTCAAATGTATGCTGAAGAAGAAGTAAACTACTTTTAGGGAACAAATCAAAATTTATCCTGAGGGATAAAAAATTTTTACTTTTTAGTTTGCAGTTAGGTTCTACATAATGGGGATATCAGAACTCAGCCTTAGTGCTCAAGAGGACACAACGCAACTGAAATATACAGTAGAAACAGGAAATGGATCAGAGACCAATAAAGAAATTACTTCTTTAAAAAGAAGGTTATATACCAAATATTCCAGGAAACAGTAGCTGTTAGGCTAAGGCTACAGTTTCAATGGTTTTACCAAACCCCCTTAAAGAGAGATGAGACTACAACTATGACAGAGGTCACTGCTCAGGACACTGGGACCCTCATTCTGACTTCACCTTTTACTAGCAAGGTATCTTTGCGTTGTACCTGTTTTTTTTAACTTCTCTGAGCCTCAGTGTCATGTGCAGTAGCTGAGTTGGCAGACAAATCTAATTATATAACGTATATAAGTATACCTATGCCAGTCCCTACTGCATAGAATATACTCCACAAATGGCATATAGCCCATTCATAATATAAACTGACCTAATCTAAATCTTTTCTAGGCCATAAAAGAACTTCCTTTTTAAAATCTTCAGCAGACAGGCCTCTCAGAGAGGTCAATGCAATGACAAAAGAAAAAAAACATTCTAGAGCAAAAGAGCTTGGCAACCAGCAGACATAAATGTTTCCTCTGCTGATTACAGCCACTAAACCAAAGCTGCTTACCACTCTAGCCAGAGTTAAACAGTCCCCAGCAACAAGAGATGTGTCCAGATTAAGCTCCAATGGAACATATCACTACAGACAATAAAAGTTCAGCTCAATAACTTGCCTATTATTGTTAATAAAAGTCTTGCCCTTTCCATAATACTCCATAATGCATTAAATAAGGCTAAAAAGGGTGGTACCTATGGTTCAGTGAGTAGGGTGCTGGCCCTATCTACCAAGAGTGGCTGGTTCAAACCCAGCCCCAGCCAAACTGCAACAAAAAATAGCCGGATGTTGTGGCAAGTGCCTATAGTCCCAGCTACTCGGAAGGCTGAGGCAAGAGAATCTCCTGAGCCCAAGAGCTGGAGGTTACTGTGAGCTGTGACGCCACAGCACTCTACCAAGGGCAACAAAGTGAGAATGTCTCTAAAAAAAAAAGAAAAAAAAAGGCTAAAAATATTAAGTTTCAGTAGAAATAAAGATGCACAGAATATCTTAATTCTGGACATACACTGTATCAAACCATAAGAAAACTCATAACCTTTTCCTTTTACCCCACAATGCTTAACTTTTAATTCTACTTCATGAAATGGTACACTCATAGCACTTAGTTCCCCTAACTAAGGCAGTATCATACACAGGAGAGCATGTCCTCCTCCATCTTCCTTAAGACATGCTGTGGAATGGAAAGAACATAAACTTTGAAAATGTAAACACCTACATTCAAAAATACTTCATTTTCTGTTTAGGCATTGTTTCGCCCTGGGCTCATTACCTTACCTCCCTGAACCCCAGTTTTCTTACTTGGTAAATAACTCCTACCTGATGAAATACTGTGAGAATTAAAAACAATTAAGTGAAATCACTTACATAAAAATATCTAGTCAGCTCTGGATAAATGAGTGCCCATCCTCCCTTTTTCCTTTTTTAAGTTGAGTTTAACACTAATAATGCCAGTCTCCAGCCAATTAAGTAGCCTCTTATCAGCAGTTTTTCTTTTTTATTACACCTAACATGTCATCCACAGCTCCACGGAATACACTGTGCTCTGATGTCCAAATTCCTTGAATAGTGGCACTTCTCTTAATTCCTAATCAAATCATGTTCCCTCAACCAAGTGCAATATTGCTCATCTGTCAGATCCCTCCAAGAAGCCTCCAGTAACTCAACAAATTCCAAGAGAAAATCTATGACATTCTCTAGATTTTGAATTTCTGTGTAAATTCATCTTATCCTATATTATATTTCTAGAGACCTTATATAACCTTAGAACTGTTATTATTCTAATTTTGGCCCAGAAGAGGGGGCCAATTTCTTGCAGGCTATACTATACCTGGAGCTATGTAGCCAGGAGCAGCTGTCGCCCCCACGAAAGCTCCTCTTGTTAGAGTTCCTCTTCCTCTGCCCCGAACGGCCTGGACTGCTGCAGACACAGCTGTATTCACAACACCCTTCGCCTGTTCAAAATAACATTATTTTCATTACTGAGAGAAGAATGAACTATCATCCTGTCACCTCTTTAGTATGCAACCACTCTGAGAAGCTATGAGCCTATAGGTGAAACAGTGAGTTCTCTGTGACCTTGAACCTTCAATTTATGACACCTACCTTACAGAGTTATTCCAGACAATATGCTGGGCAAATAAAAGCATGTAAATAACCTTACACTTGGGTGTTATCCAGAAAGAACTCATTTTCTACACACAAATTGCAGTATCAAATTACTAGTACCATAATATCCAAAGGCATTTTGAGCCCGACTACAGTAATTATGGACACTTGATACCAAAGGTCCAAATTCACTGAATTCTTCACCTAGAGGTAGAAAATACCCCCCAAACTACCTAGCAGTAGTTGTGAATCTGAGTTGGGTTAGAAAAAGAAAGGACTAAGACAGGAGGATCAAAGATGAGGATGCCAGTTCTTGCTCTAGGTAAATGGGACTTTAGGAAGGTTACGGGATTTCTTTGAACCTGTTTCCTCTGCTGCCTGTATATGCGTATATGTGTATGTATTTACTATTAAATAAATACCGACCACCTCAACAGCCTCTTCTTTGCTCTACAACACTGGTGAAGTCAAATAACCTCTCTCTACGGCAGTCTCCCACTAATTGGAAAATGAGGAAAATGGTACCCACTTTGTCATCCTTACTTTAGAGTAGAAAGAAAAACTGAGAGAAGATACAGAATAAGTTGTCCAGGAGTAAGAATACACAGCACTGTTGAAAAATTCCGTTTCCAAACTGAAATTTTAAGAAAATCAAAAGGTGTCTAGCTTTTAGCTAAACAGCATATTTTTAATATAAATATACAACAAAACCTAAAGCTAAAAACTACCAGGCTTCTCCACATGCAAACAAAGGGTGCATGCACAGCCTCAAAGCACACTGTATGATAAAGTCAACGCTGTCTCAGAAGCTCAGAGAGTCAGAATATTCAACACATTTATCTCATAGTAAAAAATAATTACCATCCTTTATTTCTTCCAGGATAGCTTCTATCTCAAATGTAACTGGGCAGAAGACAGTTTCAAGGTCAAATGTATCATATACAGAAACAGCCATTTTTCTTTTTACCTAAAATAATCCAACCCACCATCCAAAAGAAGACTACATCTTGGCTATCAGGCAAACACATGAGTTTTACAGCTTTTAGTATGCAAAATTTCCAAAACTAAGTGAACTTCCTGTAGACATCATAGAAAAAAAAAGAAAGAAAACAAATTTTAGTCAAAATTAATTAAGAAGCAACAATCTAGGACAGTGATTCCACACAAATCTAGCTCATGTCACTGGAATAAACTTAATTACCTAATACATATTTACACAGAGACTTTTTAACTGCTAAAATTAACTGACCAAACATAAGAGGTAATATGGGAAAAGTACAATAAAATACAGTAATTCAGAATATATTTTGTCCCATGTTTACCAGAAGATTTTAGAAAAGAAAATCTACTTATTTTCTATGTGTTTATTTTTTATTTCATTTGAGTAAAAATTTTCCCTATTTGTCTTTTGAATCCTAGAATTTAAGCAGTGTTTACAGTAAATACAAAACAAACATCTAGATTAATATGTAAAGTAAAATGCCCATGACCTTTGGAAGGAGAAAAATCTGGTTTTAAAAGAAACCTCTACTATCAATTAGCTATGTTACTACAGGTAAGTATCCTCCATTTCTTAGGGCCTCATTTCCTAATGTGTAAAATGATACCAATTCTACTCTCCTACAAAGGACTTATGATATTTAAAATGTTTAGCATAGAATCTTAAATAATCTAAGCTTCATTCTATTACTCTAAGCCAGCAGTTCTCAATCTCTGGGTCTTGACCCCTTTGTAATAATGAAAATACACTGCGGCAGTAGGATGGCTGAGAACCACTGGTCTGAGCATTTTATGTTTCTATCACATGATATATTCGGACATTATTATTGCACCAGTACTCTCCATGAGGCAAAAGATGTGTCTTGTATTTACTAGCGTAACTCTTTTTCCCACACAGTCACACAGATGGTATCCACCTAGAAAATACTTTTTGAATGGATATATGAATAGATGGAAGAATCTCATATCCATGAGTATGTAATTTGGAAACCATTTTTTCTAAATACCTTGCTAAGATCTGGATCTTGAGTAGTACTGGCATTACCAAGGTCAGTAATGAACAAAGGCAACACAGTGTCAAGTTCTGTGCTATTCAAGAAGAAAACCCAAATTAAACAAAGCAAAAGGACAAAACCGGAAAGGAACTGGAAGAACACCTGCAAACTATGATAAATGTGAGCCCTAAATAATCTTGGCAGCTTTCAAAACAACTGCTTATACCTTATGAAGGTCCAAATCACCTTAGCACTTTACCCCATCAAGAATGACCTCACCCCTTCAAGTACTATTAATAGTCAAACCAACAAACAAATGTGTGTATATGTATATATGTACACATGTACGTATATACATATACACACACACACACAGTCATTCTGTTGCCCAGGCTGAAGTTCAGCAGCCAAACATAGCTCACTAAAGTCTCAAGCTCAAGAGATCCTCCTGCCTCAGCCTCCCAAGAAGCTGGGAGTATACTACAGGCATGTGCCACCACACCCAGCTAATTTTTTTTCTTTTATTAATGGCATCTTGATATGTTACCCAGGCTGGTCTTTAATTCCTAAGCTCAAGCAACCCTCCCACCTCAGCCTCCCAAAGTGCTGAGATTACAGGCACAAGCCACCACACCTGACCAGACTCTTTGATATGTATATAATTTGCTTCAAAGACCACAGAACAGGGAACCACTAATACATTTATTATTATTCCTGACCTAACTCAAAGAAAAAGCTGCCAAATGCAGGAAGAAGAAACAACTTTAGGAAAAGCTAAAGTAGCACATGGACAGGAAAGCAAATATAATCCTGTAACGTTTTTCAAAGGTTCTGTAAGGTTTAATGCTTAACTCATACCTGAGGGATAATCTTCTTTTTCTTATTATTTGCTGCATTGGGTCCAGAAAACAGCTTCTCCAGGGCAGCTAACGCTGCACTTGCTTTTGCCACTTTCTTATTTGGACCTGCGCCTCTGAATTTCTGTCCATCTACTTCTACCTAAAATTAAAAACAATACTTATTAATTATCCCATGTAATCCCTCTATGTAGTTTTAATTTAAATGTATGGTAACATAGAAAACATAAAAAAAATCAAACAGTGCCACAGAACTGATTTAGTCTAAAATTTTTACATTTAAGTTCAGGATATTCCATGTCTTTGAGAGGAAAAACAGGCTGGCTTGTATCAAGGCACACACCTCCATTACAAAGCGCTTGTCATGGCTTCCCCCAGTCTCTGAGATGAGTTCATACTTGAGACCTCTTCTTTTTTCATTGAGCTCCATTACAGGGTTTTTGCCACTTGCTGTGAGGATTGGGCCCTGAGTTCTTACCTATAAGAGAAAGGGAATTTGGAGGTTGTTACTAATATAATTATGCTAAAAGAGAAGCTCAAGAATTCTAATTTAAAGCATTTAGAGGCTGGGATAAGTCACCTCTGTATACAAATGGGCTTGGCACCCATAGCACAGTGATTACAGCACCAGCCCCATACACTGAGGGTAGCGAGTTCAAACCGGCCCAGGCCATCTAAACAACAATGTATACAAATGTTACATACAATATCATTAAAAGTGGGAAAACTCTACAAGCAATAAATACTGTAGTCATCTGGGCAGGCTGCCTTCAAAGCAAGGGTGTCCCAAACAGAGCAGCATTCAAGACTATAGACTCACCACTGTAGGGTCCTCAAGGGTCTGATCTGTAGTGTTCATGATCTAAGAACAATACTTTAAATTACTAATAAAGAGATTGGGATTAACATGATGTCTAAGGGTTCACATCTGTCCTCTTTAGGGATAGGAAGAAATAAGTCTCAATTTGGAAATGAGAGAAGGAAATGCTCCTATACATACCTCTTGGTCTCTCTAAACAGATCTAAGGGCACCTAAGGTAAAAACAGTAGGCTACAGTAGACTACACAGCGGCACCCATAGCTCAGTGATTAGGGCGCTTGACACATACACCCGAGGCTGGCGGGTTCAAACCTGGCCCAGGCCGGCTAAAACAACAATAACAACTGCAACAAAAAAATAGCTGGGCATTATGGTGGGTGCCTATAGTCCCAGCTACTCAGGAGGCTGAGACAAGTGAATCACCTAAGTCCAAGAGTTTGAGGTTGCTGTGAGCTGTGACACAGGGTGACAGCTTGAGAGTCTGTCTCAAAAAAAAAAAAAAAACAGTAGGCTACAAATTATGGTTCTAAAACTTAAAAGTAACAATAAACATAGTCAGGAGCTAGAGTGTTGGGAGGGACAGACATAATCACCACAAAATAGTATGGAACCAATGTATGCTAAGGAAACACAGTAGAAGGGATCATTTTGTAGGGAAAGCAGGACAGTTTTCCTGGAAATGACATATGAGTCTGACTATACTGCCCCACAGACTATCATCAGGGGAATCAAAGAAGGGCATTCTGGTAAGGGGCACAATTATAACCTTGATTCAATTTGTGCAAAAAACAAAGTATGTAAACTAAACATGTGTACTCCCTAATATCCTGAAATAAAATTAAATAAATAGCAAAAACAAAGATGGGCATTTTGGGTAGAAGAAACAGCAAGAGCAATGCAAAGGCCCAAGAAAGGGAAAGAACATTTGGGAATGGCAAGAAATTCAGTCTGACTGTATAAGAAAGTGAGGAAAGGAAGCTAGTGTATTAGATTCTGGTCAGAAAAACCACTGATGTGGCCAAATCACATTGGACTTCATATACCAAGCAAATGAGCTTCCGGCGGTCCCATGAATAATAGGAGCCACTGCAAAAGTTAAACCTGGAAAATGACATGTGTTATAGAAAAACCACTCTCAACAGTGGTGGAAAGAATTGATTTGAGGAAGTTAACGATACGACTACAGGTAGGGAAGAGAAATAATTCACATAAGAGTACGAAGGCTCAGACGAAGAGAGAGGCTAACACCAAAACAAGCCCACTTCCAAAAATACCACAACTATAATTTCGAGAAAGGAAAAACCAAAACATTAAGCACTTTTTGAAGTTAGAGAGCCCACCACAGTTGTTGCTCAAAAAATGCTGAACAGAAGGTATTCTCAAAAGTACTATTTTGTATATAAATCTAACGGACATCAAGATTCTCTTAATAAAGTACTCTATGTTGATAAAATGTGGTTGATACTGAAGTCAAACAAGGTACAATTTTTTAAGACAAGCTTAATAAACATCCCTTCTTTTTTTGTTTGTTTGTTTTTTGAGATAGAGTCTCACTATGTTGCCCGTGGTAGAGTACCATGGCATCACAGCTCACAGCAACTTCAAACTCATGAGCTTAAGCAATTCTCTTGCCTCAGCCTCCCAAGTAGCTGGGACTGGACTACAGGTGCCTGCCACAACATCCTCCAGGCTATTCATTTTTTTGTTGTTATAGCTATCACTATTGTTTGGCAGGCCAGGGCTGGGTTCAAACCTGCCAGCCTGTGCTGTATGTGGCCAGCACCCTAGCTGCTGAGCTACAGGCACTGAGCCTAAACATCCCTGCCTGATGAGTTTTTGTAATATACCTGTTAAAAATTTCACGGCAAATCTCCAGTCACCACCTTTGAAAGATAATGAGTAATTTTAACCTAAGTCTATAATAATCACTCTCTTACTTCCAAACCTGAAATGACTCAATACATAAAAATACCTGAACTTTAATATTACTACTAATTTAAATGAACAGTAGAAAGAATAAGGGTTCTCCCTCCTCACCCCATTACTACAATATACAGAAATAAAATACTTAACAGTCTAGACACAATTACTAATGAGCCTTTTCTTCTTCTGGTGCACATATAACATGTTCCAGCAAAAAAACATTTTGCCCTGTGACTACCACCTGCAGCATCTTCTGTCCTCCACAACATCACATGACTCTTCATACTAACCCACTTAGCACTTCTCATTTACTTTCACTACTCCATGTCAATATACTTGTTCCATGTCCAACCCAGATGCCTTCTTGCCATCTCTTTCCTACATGACAAAACTCATCCTCTAAAACCTTGCTAATTGATTTTACGTGGCTGTGTGTGTGTATAAGGCTCCCAATCACTTCTTCTTTTCAGATTTTCACATCACTATATTTATTTTACAATTGCAGTGCTTATCACATTTCATTAGCATTCATCATAAACATGTCTTTTGCACTTCTTGCCTGGGAGCAATTTCAGGCTCTAGACACAATTTCTTCTTTTTTTTCCCCCTAGATACAATTTCTGCACTGCCTGGCACTAAACAGATATTAAAGGGGTTTATGGACTAAAAGAATTAGTCTGTTAAGTCTCTAATAAACACTTGTTCTTATAGATGACAAAGTAAAACCTTTTTCTACAGTTTGTTTTTGGATAGGACTTCACTGTGCTGCCCAGGCTGGAAGGCAATAGTGTCATCATAGCTGACTGTAATCTCAAATTCCTGGATTCAAAAGATCCTCCTTCCTCCTGCCTCAGCCTCCTGAGTAGCTGGGACTATAGGTACAGGCCACCATGGCCTGTTAATTTTTTAATTTTTGGTAGAGGTGGTGTCTCACTATGTTGCTCAGGATGGTCTTGAACTCCAGGCCTCAGCCTCTCAAAGTGCTAGAATTACAAGCCTAAGCCATCACACCTAGCCCAGAAAGTAAAACCTTTTTTTAATGTAGGCTCTTGTGTTACTTTAAAGCCAATTTTTGTTAAACAGAATGCAGTAAGCAATGGTTCTGTAAATTCCCCAATGTGCTGTACATACTCAGTACTTGGATTTTGTTCTAGTCTATTATCTGTGAAAATAAGTTCAAAGGTCAGACTTAAGGTTATGTGTTTCCTTCCTGCACCAACTAAATGATGACCCAGTGTAGCACAAATTTCAAATAATCCAAAATTTCCTCCCTTAGATCTTTTACATCTTTACCCTTCAATTATTGTTGATACTCTTAATATTACAGTTGTTAAATACTAGAAGCAGTTTCCATGGCCAGTAAGAGAAAAATGCTAGTTAAATTAGGGTATATTCATGTATTGGACAATATAGTTATGTTTACAGATATTTTTAGATTAAAATGAAAAAAATCAAGATGTAAAACTGCATGAAAATATGACTATCTCCAGAAAAATATTCATTTTTTAATAGCTGGATAAAAATAAAATAACCAATACTAATGTTTGCCTCTAGAACACATAGATTCATATACACGTTTGATTTTCCTACTTTTCCACATCTCTCATATTTCCTATAACACATATATATTACTTTTTTACTAAGGAAAAAATATATATATATAAGTATACCTCTAAGGTACTGGAGGTTTCAGTTGTAGAATTTCCAGTATTATTGCTTGAATTTGAAGACACTGTTTCATTTTTGCTTTCATTATCTGATTTCTCATCGGAACTCATACATTCAATATCTGCATCGAAGCCTGTTGGGTATCCCATTGCCTGCAATACCTGTACAAATTACAATAAGATGCAGTTTTATTCAGAAATCAGAGACCACAGAGAAGAGATGGAAAAAAAAAAATTTTTTTTTTTTTGAGACGGAATCTCACTATGTCACCCTTGGTAAGAGTGCCTAGGCATCACAGCTCCCAGCAACATCAAACTCTCGGCCTTACATGATTCTCTTGCCTCAGCCTCCGAAGGGACTTCAGGTGCCCTCCACAATGCCCAGCTATTTTTTGGTTGTAGTTATCATTGTTTGGCAGGCCTGGGCTGGGTTTGAACCCGCCAGCTCCAGTGCATGTGACTGGTGCCCTAGCCCCTTGAACTACAGGCACCAAGGCAATAGATGAAATATTAAGCACAAAAGTTTCAAATTCATTAACACTTAGATCCATAAAACCCCTTGCAAGAAGAGCTAAACCTATAAAATAGCAGTTCTCAACCTATGGGTCACGACCCCTTTGTAACAATGAAAATACATCCTGCATATCAGATATTTACATTATGATTCATAATAGGAGCAAAATTACAGTTATGAAGTAACAACAAAAATAATTTTATGGTTGGGGGTCATCACAACACGAGGAACTGTATTAAAGGGTCACAGCATTAGGAGGCATTAGGAAGGTTGAGAACCACTACTATAAAATCTTGTATCTACCAAGGTAGCACCATGGAAAAATGGAAAAGCCTCCTCAGAGTAATCAGTTTAAATAAGGGATAACAGAAATACAAATCTGAAGCTACTTCCAGTTCATTTAATTTGGAAGTGAGAGCTGGAGAAAACAACATAGCCAGCTTCAATCATTAGGATGAGGTGAAAAGTCAAATAGCACACTATATACTAACTAGAAAGGAAAAAGCCTGATGATTTAATCCTACATTTCATCTCTGGCCCTCAAGTTTTCAATCTATAAAACTGTAAGACTGGTTTAGTAGACCTCTAAATTCTATAACACAACTCATTATGAGAAATTGGCCCAGAAAGGAAATTGAGAAATTTTTTAACCTTTCAAATAATATGCCTATCAATATAAACACCTAAAGCTTCCTACTTAATTGCTTTGCTTAAACCATAATAAAGACTTAAAAGATTCAGTCTCTAGGTTTATTCCCTATACTAAGGACGCTAAGAACAATCTCTAGTCACATATTTCCATTCCTTTCTCTGAAGACCTGATAATTTTAGGGCCACCTCCAAATGTTCAAAATTCTTATATTTCCATTCAATGCCAAAAACTTCTCATACCTGTTTAAAATAAAGCTTTTGGCTCGGCGCCTGTGGCTCAAGTGGCTAAGGCGCCAGCCACATACACCTAAGGTGGCATGTTCGAATCCAGCCGGGGCCCACCAAACAACAATCATGGCTGCAACCAAAACCAAAAATAGCTGGGCATTCTGGCAGGCGCCTGTGGTCCCAGCTACTTGGGAGGCTTGAGTCCAGGAGTTAGAGGTTGCTGTGAGCTGTGATGCCATAGCACTCTACCCAGGGGGATAGCTTGAGGCTCTGTCTCAAAAAATAATAATAATAATAAAATAAGGCTTTCACAACAATGTATATGTGTGCACAAGTATGCACGGGCACATCCACATGCATGCGCACACATGTGTGCCTTTTAACACCTCCTTCCAGGTTATACTGGTTTTTAGATGTTTACAAGAGAATATGTTCACTAGTATTTGCTTTCAAAATAGGTCAACTTGCTTTGGTAGTTACTAATAAAAGGTTTATGTACCTACATTCTTAAGGTTCCTAAAGATCCCTGGATTTGTTTCAAATTTCAGCTATTTTAAAGTTGCTGGAGGGTAAAAGCAACATTGTTATCTCCTTAAAATACCAATTGTACTTAATAGGTGTCTCAAAAAATTGTTTACAGTGGCCACAAAAACAAGCCAGCTTTTATAGACAATAATATCTAAAGGCCTTTGCCAATATGAATAAAAAAGCATTATTCTAAACCAAAAAAAAAAAAAAACAAAAAAGGGTTTACACAGAACTCTGTACCAAGAGAACTTGAAATTAATTCACCCAATTCATATGGAGAACTTGGCATTCTCATCATACATTTCTTTTTATTTTCTTTTTTCTTTTTTCTTTTGGAGACAGAGTCTCATTTTCTCACCCTTGTTAGAGTGCTATGGCGTCACAGCTCACAGCCACCTCAAATTCTTGGGCTCAAGTGATCCTCTTGCCTCAGCCTCTCAAGTAGCTGGGACTCCAGGTACCCGGTCACAACACCCAGCTATTTTTAGAGACAAGATCTCACTCTGGCTCAGACTGGTCTGGAACCGTGAGCTCAGGCAATTCACCCGCCTCAAAATTTTTTATATTTATTTGGGAGCAAAGCCAAGAACACTTTTTTAACATCTTAAGTTCTAAAAGTACTCAGGTATTATTTTATACAAAAAACTTTAACATCACTTGGCTATATCTTCATAAATATTTTACAAAGAAAACACCTTCTCAGCTGGGTCCTGCAAATATGCTCTCCCTGAGAAATCTTCTGTCAGAATACAGCCATCAGTCTAGAATCTAGAATTAACACTACCTTATGGAGGCAGCAAGTCAAAAGCCAAGCATCACAAATAAAACTATTATTCCAATAGAAAGTAAGGATACTTAGTTTTTCTCACCATAGATAATAGTATAAATTAAATTTCTCACCACTCTTTTCTCACATTATGAGATTCATTTATTTATTACAACAACATATTTCAACACATTTATAAATAGCTTATATATAGCTGATAAATTATATTTCAATGGATAGTATCCATTTGTGATACAGTATAACAAAAAAGTTTCAAATTAAGTCATTCTTCTGTGAACACATATTCCAAGAGGATTTACTAGTATATCCTGTAGAGGTCAAAAAAGTAAAGAGTTGGGCTCAGCACCTGTAGTTAGTGGTTAGGGTACCGGCCACATACACTGGGGCTGGCAGGTTCGAACCCAACCTGGGCTTGCTAAACAACAATGACAACTATAACAACAACAACCAAAAAAAAAAAAAAAAAAAAAACAGCCAGGCATTGTGATGGGCGCCTACAGTCCCAGTTGCTTGGGAGACTGAGGCAAGAGAATAGCTTAAGCCCAAGAGTTTGATGTTGCTATTACCTATGACCCTACGGCACTCTACCAAGGGCGACACAGTGAGACTCTGTCTCAAGAAAAAAAAAAAAAGGAAAGAGTTCTCAGATTCTGGACAAAGACTCTCATCTTGACCAAACTTTAGACAGGATACTCTGAGCCACTTTTTTTCAAGTAGGCCCCCACTTATAGCAAGAATCCTGCTAAAGTTTCTTGGCCAGAATCCTCTACCCTCAATATATAATCATCTTTTGATATCTGATCAATTTTCCTCACTCCCCACTATCACCCACATGATGTCTGACTACCCTTTAGCAAGAATCTCAATAGGTCTGGTTAGCCAGAAATCCTTCACCCTAATGTTTCCTCTTAATAATTTTCTATCCACTGACCCTCCCTGTCCTTGGCCATAAATCTCCACTTGTTCACTCTGAATTCAGAATTAGGCCAGCACTATACTGAGGTCTCTTTCACCCTGTTGCAATAGTTCCTGAGTAAAATCTGTTTTACCACTTTAACAACTATCCAGCTCTGATTTTCTTTGATACAACCAAAGTTAATTTGGAATCAATTATTAAAGCCCCAAAATCAGTATACCAAAGAAAAAATGAGTTTCAAGTGTCTAGCAAATAAATTTAAACCTAATAACTACATTAACTGAAATGAAAAAAATCACAAGATAATTCATGGAACAAGGATCACTGGGAAATCAGCTGTGTATATATATAACTATGTACCTTCTTCCTAGAAAAGGTCTGAGATTGAGAAAGGTTAAGACTGAGAAAGATGATACCCCAAAGACTAGGAGCCAAGAGTGTAAAGAAAACACAGGGCACTCTACAACATGGGTCTCTACTCAAAAGAAAGTAACATTCATGGCTTCCATATGATAGAGATCTGATTATTTCAGATTACCTGGGAATTCTGAGACTCCAAGAACCTCTCCGCAGAGCCTTCATTTCTTATTCCTGTCTAACTGATCTTTTCCCAACATGACTAAAGTTCTTTTCGTGGAATATTGCTAAGTATATCCCTAAAGGTGTCCTTTGAGAGTGGCTGCCAGGATAAAGAAGTCGAAGAGGAAAGGGACTAATTTCCATTACTTTAGCAGTGCTTGAGGGCCAGGCCAGGTTCACATGGAAGGAACTAATTTTTTCTTATTTTGTTTTGAATTGATTCTGATATTATTTGCCTTGACAAGAACAAACCCTCTCCCTGCCAACCTTTTTAGAGTAAGGACTACAACAAATTTTTTTTTTTTCCCAGTTTTTGGCCGGGGCTGGGTTTGAACCCGCCACCTCCGATATATGGGGCCAGCGCCCTACTCCTTTGAGTCGCAGGTGCCGCCCTACAACAATTTTTTAAAATAGTTTTTTATTAAATCCTAATTTTGTACACTGATGCATTTATGGGGTTCAGGGTACTATTTCAATATGAAATTTCAATGTGAAATGCTTACATGACTACAACAATTTTTATCTGGTGGGATCTACTTTCAAAAACAGCATTGTTAGATAAAAATCTTCCCTCATGCTTATTTATAAACAGAACCTATATCATTTGGTATATTCTTTATGGATGGCAATTTGGCAATATATGCCTGGCAAATACAGTGAAACCTCCATAGTTGACCACCTCCTTAAGCTGACTTAATTTTCATGGACCCAACATGCGCCACATGTACTTGTCAGTCTAGTAGGCCTAGTTCCTTATGTTCATTACATCTGTATATTGACCAGGTTGTAATAGTCCCTTGGGTAGTCAACTTATACACGTTCTACTTTAATAAGAATAAAAACTGTAATTCAAAGAAAAACACAGATATTAATAGGGAAAAATCAGAAAATAAAATTATATATACACTGTGAGCCCAACTTAAAAAAAGAAACAAACAAAACAGAAAATAATTGAAAATAAAACAAATACTATATATACTGATCTTTGCCTCAAATATTCAATTGACACATTCTTAGTTATCTTTTCTATATTTTCCAAATTTTGTATAATAAACATAGATTTTACACACACAAAAGAGGAATTTTGGCATCCAGAGGTGACAAAAGTCTATATATTACTTTCATTAAAATATTGGAAAAAACTGCCAATTATAGAATAATAAACACATTATTTGGAACACAAAATAAAAAAGCATTGCTAAATGAAATAAGTACTATACCTTCACTGCTACATGAAGTTTTGCTGTTTTCTTGGACGGTCCTGAGGCTTCATATGTTGTGCCATCCACATCTACAGACATTGTGAAGACTGGGGCATGGACAGGGCCAGACTGAGATAAGAGCTTATACTGAAGCCCAGGCCTGATCTGATTTAGCCTCATGAGTGCATTCATAAGGTCTATTGCTTTACTATCCAAGACTGTTAAAGAAAGAGGAATGAGATCAGAAATTAACCACAGAGCCATTTTGCTTTAATCTATGGATTTGTAGGTCCCTAGTGACCACTACAAATTCACCAAGTTTTCAAAAAAATGAGAATTTCAAAACACACTAATAATTCCATAATTTTGAAATTATTTGATTATGCTGTTATCACCACAAAAATAACATTCATTACTATATACATTAATTTTCATTTGTCAGTATCAAGGTATACTATGCAAGGAAGCTTAGAAACATAAAAAAGTTATTCAATTATCAACTTCTCACTTAAGAGAAGATCAACTTCTCTATTCTTATAACTCTAATTCAAATCAATCAAATTCTTCACTTTTTGTTTCCTGAGACTAAATCTTTTCTTATTCACATTGACAAGAATAAAGATTTTGCACACTTTTCCTTAAGTTTCGTTTCATCTTCTTATTGGGGTCTTTATCATCCCCTAATCCATCTTCAAATGGCCTCTTTAGAGCTGAAGACCCAGCACCTAAAAACAATTATAAGAGATTTATTATCAGTCAAAATAATGAGCTTACTTACTCACATATATCTAATATATCCAAGTAGGAAAATGTTAGGGATCACAACAAGAACCATATAACTTTTCAGAAATCAATTAAAGTGTCATATTCATAATCTAGAAAAGCAAAATTTTAAAAAGCAAACCTTCTTGAAATAATTTAATATTGTCATTTTTATAAATATTTGCTTTCATCTCTTTATATATGCAAATATTAATACATGTGCTATGTTCTCAACATTTGTGTCTTCCCAAAATTCGTATGTTGAAACTTAATCCCCAGTGCTGTGGTGTTAGAAGGTGGAGCATCAGAGAGGTGATTAGGTCAAGAAGGCCGAGCCCTTATAAATTAGTGCCCTCATAAAAGAGGCCTAAGAAGAATTAGTTTGTCCCTTCCACTATACATAGGAAACATAGCAGGTTCCACCTATGAGGAATGAGCCCCCGCCAAACACCAAATCTAGTGAAACCTTGATTTTTGATTTCCCAGCCTCCAGAACTATGAACAATAAATTTCTGTTGCTTATAAATTACACCCAGTCTAAGGTATTTTGTTACAGCAACCCTAAAGCCTAAGGCAGTATATACTCACATCTATTATATGCATGGAAAGGAAAAACCTGGAAAGCTAGATATCAAAATATTAAGAGTAGTTACCTCTGGTAGGATTTATTTTTACTATGTCATATCAAGCATTTCTAAAGTTTAACATTTATTACTTGTATAAACTTTAAAAGTTCACATGTTAAATCTTATGTTTCAGAAATCTGATTATCAAACTGTAAAATATTCTCCTGTCTCTTCAAATTCTATTCAAGATTTTAGGGTTTCTCATCGTGAAACCCTTCACTCATATTAACTTCTTGAAAAGCACCACAGATAGCTTTATGTTATTGCCTATTTCATATATTCTGATGCATTATTAGTGCTCTTTGAAAGCCAAAGATATTTTATCCTTGCCTTGTATCTTTTTTTTTTTTTTTTTTT